TTTTCCAGTTGAAGAAGTATTTTAACATAGGCCTCTTGAATAATAATATCCTATCCTCTGGGCTAGACTGGTTATCATGGCTGAGTGAAACCCTGATAAGGACAGCATGGAATAGGTTAATTTTGCCATCAGAGAGTAACAGAACATCTTTAGCTGTTTTGACTTATAACCATTCATATATAGGGAGGAGGGGTTGTTAATAGTGATGGGGTAAACTTGGAGCCCCAAATCAAATGTTCAAAATCAGACAAATGATGTTGAAAAACAAATCTATTTCATCCAGACTAACTTGCCAATTTTTCCTTGCCATAAGGGAAAAAGTTCAAGCACACTTACAGTTTGCCCAGTCTGAAATTTAAACTCTGGTCTAATGAGAATTTAATTAAATGAAATGGGTCCCATCACCACCACCACCACCACCACCACCACATTGCATTTATATCCTTCCTCTTTTCTTCTTGCAAAGAATCCAAGCTGGCTTACATCATCCTCCCCCACTCCATTTTATCCTCACAGCAACCCTGTGACATGGCTTAGGCTGAGCATCCATGACTAGCCCAAAGTCACCCAGTGAGTTTCGTGGATGAATGGGGACTAGAACCCAGATCTCCCAGGTTCCCACTGCACCACACCACACTAGATAATCATTATCCAACAAAGTTGCCATTGTGGCATCTTGGAGGGTGAAATGCTTATTTCAGAAGTATCTATAGGTTATATAGCATGCAAGTATAGAGTGTCTTTTTCTCTGTTACACACAGCCTGAAAAAAAAAGAGCAACAGGTTATATTTTGTCCTGTTTTCATTTTCCTCTTCCTCCTTTTACCTCTTCCTTCCAGTGTTAGGTAAATTTTTCCCAATTTACCTAACACTGGAGGGAAAAAATCCGGAATACATAAAGTGATGGAAATAGTGATGCAACATTACTGAGAAAAGCAATATAATTCCTCAAGGAAGGGATTACACACCCACTTTCTATAGTGATGGAGACCATATTCTGGGCAATTGTTCAAAATGTGTTTTCATTTATTATTGATACAATTACATAATTTACTCTTTCTTTCTGTATCTTCATGCACGTGTGGGCATGTGAGTGTCTATGTGTATGAAAGAGAGAGAGAAGGATAGAGAGCAAGGGAGGAAGGGAGGATCATGTCTGATTGCCACAACAATCTTATACTACCATTCATCAACTTCGTTAACTTGTCCAGGTGTATAGGACTCACTGAAATTAATGCCTGTTCCAAGTGACTGCATAACCTAAATGTCCATACAGATCCAGCAACATGTGTTCAGAATTATGAAAATGTCAGTATCTAAATTGATCAAATACTTTACGGTTACAGTTTTCGAAAGCTTCTAAAGCAATGGGATTTATGTTGCCTGGGGGAAACCAGATATCTCTTTCTAAACATCACAGAACTGCATCCCACGGCTGAGAGGAACTTGTATTCCAGGCACAAACCCAGCCATTTCTCCAGTACACCATACAGATAAAGCAAGGCAATGCCAATGACAAAAAAGCACAACACAACCCATCACACTCCATGATGGATATCAGTATACAAAGAACACTCATTTATGAAGCCAACCAAGGTGACGTACAAAGAATACAAGAAATAAAAACTAAAATCAAATAAAAACATCACTATAAACTATTAAAACATTAGAAGGTACAACAAGCATTCAAAAAGCCTAATTAAAAAGATACGCCTTCATCTACTGCGGAATGCAGAGTGAATGGGAACTTGTCACAACTCCATATGGTTAGGGGGTCCCCTGGGTATTCTACTGAGCCATCTCTCTTCCAACTTGCCCTAAGTTAGGGATGGTGACAGAGTTCAATTCCCATCCCCTCTCACCATCAGCCACGCTAGCTGCCACTAGCATGTGGTACAACAATTTGTGGTACAACAGCAATTGGAAAGCTACAACCCTGTCCTAAGGGCTGCTGTGGTCCTGGGTGCACTGTAGTGTATCTGGTTGAAATCACCTAGAATGATTCTGTAGCTCATTCCATTGAGGTAGTTTGTTCCATTGTCAACTTGTACCAATAGGTACAGTCAGTCCTAATGCTTGGTCAGAATCTGCTCCTTAGAATTTCTATGCATTCATTCTAGTTCTGCAGTCAGGGGCAATAGATAAGTCTGGCTCATCTTCTACACAACAGCCCTTTGGACATTTGGAGACCTCTATCACATCCCCCTCACTGGGAAGGTACACTTCAACATGGAGAAGGGGTTTGAGGGTGTCAAGAACCTGAGAGCAATGCCACCAGGAGGCCAGACTGTTTCACTTCGCTGGTCAGGCTGGCAGGATTGCCCAAGGTGGAAGGGCCGAAATGGAGACACCAGACCACGATGAATCCACCCTCATCAGGAGGTCACACCAGCTGAAAAGAATGGCTATCTCTAATGATGATGGGGCAGAGCAATTCCTGAAGGGAAGCTACTGGGCAGCAGTAGTAGCTGAAGGTGACACTAGCAGAGGATCTTCCACAGGGAATGGTAGTGATATTAATGCTAATTCTGGTTATTTCTACATGGAAGAAGACAACAGTAAATCACTCTTGAATCTTCTTACCTTGAAAACCCCATGATGAAGCAATCCAAAATGAAACAAGTGCCAGAAAATGAAACCAGTTTGGAAGGCAATGGGGGCTATTGAGCTATCAGGAGAGAGCAAAGGACAAGGATGAATAATGTTGCTGCTAATGATGCAACAAGGAAGTTTAGTGGCTGATATGCACAGAGGTGAAAGGAAAGTTCAATGCTGCGCAACACATACAGTTTGAACATAGAACATGTTAAGTACAAACCAAAGCAAATTGGAAACACTAAAGCAGGAAATGGTTAAACATCTCAGTACTCAATATTTGCAAGCTAAAATGGACTGGAATCTTTTACTCAGGAAATGACAAACTCAAAAGAAATGGAGTAGCTCTAATACTAAGGCAAGGTGTAGCACAGGCAATAAGGGGCTATGATGCAAAAATGTAGTAGTGACCATGAACTCTTAATATAAAAAAAACAACAGAGTAACACTGAAAAGGATCAACAGAAATATAATGCCAAAATAAAACTTCAATAACATCTCTGAGGAATTTAAAGTCCACATGATAAAAGGATTTTCATTATTCAACATAATTGACCATGAGCTAGAAGAATTTTAGACTGAAATCAGAGACATTACTAGGGAAGAATACCAAAAGAGTAACCTTGTAGCAAAAAGAAAGGAAAGCCTACATGGTTGACAGAAGAAATACTCACAGTTGTTAAGGACAGATGAGAAGCAAAATAAGAGGTGACAGAAATAGGGACAGAATCCTGAATGCAACTTCTCAGTGATTATCATTCAGAGACGAAAAGAATTATTAAAATGAGCAGTATGAAAAAATAGACAAGAGCAATAAAACAGGAAAAACAAGATCCAAGAAATCCAAGGGAAATTCAAAGCTAGATTAGACATGCTAAAAGAAAAATAAGAAAACTTACTGTCTGGCCAGGAGGAAATAAAGAGAAGGTGGAAAGAATATATAGAAGCACACAGAAAATGAAAAAATGTCCCATATTTGTATATTCATATTCTAATGCTCAAGAAAGGGGATGCAAAAGAGTGCAGCAACCATAGTCATTGCATTCATTTTCCACACAAGCAAAGTGATGCTAAGAGTGTTGCAACAAAGAATACTACTCTATATGGAATGAGAAATACATGATGTTCAAGTATGATTCCTGAAAGGAAGAGGTACAAGAAATCACATTGCAAATATACATTGGCTACTGGAGCATACCAGTATCAGACATTTCAGAAAAAGATCAGTCTATGCTTTATGGATTACAGCTTTTGTGTGGATCATGAGAAGTTATGGATGGTCCTGAAAGAAATAGATGTTTCTTAGCACTTGATTGTCCTGATACGTAGCCTGTAGCATAAATAAGAAGCTACTGTGAGGACAGAATATGGAGAAACAGAATGGTTTCCCATAGGCAAAGGTGTCAGACAAAGCTGTATTTTATCTCTCTATCTGTGCAGTCTGTATGCAGAACATATCATAAGGAAAGCTGGATTAGAATGAGAGGAAGGAGTGAAAATTGGCAGAAGACACATCAGCGATGACTTGAAGCAACTCCTGATAAGAGTGAAGAAGAAAGTGCAAAAGCAGGACTGCATGCAGTTGAACATTAAGGAAACAAAAATCACAACCACAGAAGCATTACAAAATTTTACTGTTAACAATGAAGATCTAAAATAGTGATAGATTTTGCATACTTTGTCTCAGTCATCAATTCAAAGGAGACTGTAGCCAAGAAATTTGAAGAAGACTGACACTGGGATGGCAGCATTGAAGGAACTAGAAAAAGATTGTGAAGTGTAAGGATGTTTCATTAGTGACCAAAGCCAAATTATCCAAACTATTGTATTCCCAACCACAATGTATGGGTGGGAAGAAAGCTGACAGGAAGGCAACTGATGTTTTCAAATCATGATGCTGAAGGACAGTTTTGTAAATTTTCTAAACTGACTGAAAGACAAACAAGGGCATCCTGGATCAGATCAAGACGGAGCTCTCCCTAGAAGCAAAATAACAAAACTGAGGCTATCATACTTTGAACACATCATGAGAAAAGAAGACTCACTGAAGACAATTATGTTAGGGAAAGCTGAAGGCAGAAGAAAAGGAAGACCAAACATGAGGTGGATTGAATCCATAAGTGAAGCTGCTGCAGGTGACTACCTCATTCTGTCTATTGGTAGGGTCAAGCACATCCATCTGTGCTTAATTTTTGACCCATTTGATGCTCAACAGTTTTGAGAATTACCTCTCCACTGATGAGTACAAAATGCAGAGAAGTTCCCAACAACAGCTAAATATGACATGGATGTGACATTATCTCAAGACTGCAATAATGGAAACATTCATACACTCATGATAGGGCATCTATCTGCCTATGCTTGTACAGAATTTATGGAGGATGTCCTCAGGGAGTATTTCTTACCTCTGACTGATGGCCAACTCTGATAAAAGTGCAGATAGGATCAAACGCTCCTGTCCCGCAGGCCAGCAGGTGTGTCCTGTTGTATCGGTGCAGGGTACGGATGTAATTTGCACACTCTTCCTATGGTAAGAATAAAGTAATGCAAATAAGTAGTACATAATGGTATCTTTTAAAACAGTTTTACTTGCTATTATAGCGGCATTTAGACAACCAGAATCTTGTTTATTCATTTAACACATAAATAGAAGCTTCTCATAACAGGTACCATTTCCTTTCCCTTCTAGTCCTGAGAAAGAGACTAGAAACCAGGCATGAGTGAGAACTTCATTTCATGGAAAAGAAATCTGTATTATGTTTTAGTATCAAAACTATGGAAGACTCCATGATGCCAGAATTTTTCCATCCTTCAAAATACGATTAAAAGTGGATTTTAATTTTGGTATCAGCAACTTTCTAAATATTTTATAAAACTCTGGTCCTAACCCATCTATATCTGAAGCTTTCCCTCCTTTTAAATTATTAATAACCTCTTCTGTGTCCTCTTCCCTAATCTACTTTCCCATTAATTCTATATCTTCCTTCTGCAATTTATTCCCAAGGTTCCTTTCTATATATGATCTAATTTTACCTATTGGCACCTTCCCAGCTGAGTATAGCTTAAAATAAAATCTATGAAATATTCCTAACTTCTGTCAAATTATAATTTTTACCCCTTTCATCTTTATTCCTTTTACTTTTCTTTTGTTGCTTATCTCTTGCCAACTTTCTTGAGTTCTTATTACTAAATTTAAAAAATTCCCTTCTCAAATATATTATATCTCTCTGAACAAACAGAATTTTCGGTGGGATTAACCATGCATTTTAAGTCTGGGGGAAATGGGGTGGTATCCTGGCCCTTGGGAGAAGACAGCTAGTGACATGGGGGAAAGCTTACTCATGCCTGGTATAGTCAGGTAATTACCTCAGTTCAGTATGAAAGTAGAACCAAGCTGTGTCTGTTTGCTTAGGATGGTGCTCAGTTGATGTGAGAACTGAGCTAACAGCAAAGTGTCTCATGAAAGAGTAGCACTGAAGACACTAGAGATGAGCGAGAATTTCATTTCAGACTTTGCTAAAATGTGCAATGTCCCCACTGTAACCTTACAATGTACAAGCATACCACCCACACACCCACCTCTGAGTCCATAAGAACTGAATGAAAAACCAAAACTGACAAATTTAGACCTAGTGCCAGACTCTTAACAGCCTGGGCTTGGATCTGTATATTCAACTATGTTAGTGCAAAATTGTGATCGCCACCTCTTTCTTCTGACAGGCTGCTCATCTTTTAACTACTACATCATCATCATCCTCTCAATCCTGTTGAATTTGCAGGTGACTGAGAATTTCATTTCAGTGGAAATGTCTGCAAAAAAATTACCCAAATTTGTTCAGTTTCTCATATGCAAGAGAGAAAGAATGTGAGATTCTAAACCTCTGAAGTAACAAGGAAGCAAAACTAACTCATTTGCCTATCTCTACAACTGCACAGTTTTATAGATATTTATAGAAAAGTGAATCCCACTAAATTTAGTGGTGCTTAGTCCCAAGTAAGCAGTTATAGGAGTGCAGCTCAAACCCCTGGAAGGACAAACCAAATCATCAGACTTGACAACTGTAGGCAAAATGGCAGTAGGCAAAGGCCATTTTTCCAATCAATTTTTAAAGGTCTCATTTTACTTTACTGGTGGTCATTTTGGGGTAATGGCCCACCAAGCAAAAAAAACACCACCCCGCCCCTGTATTACCAAGGTTTTGACTGTTTCTTCCTTTTTTCATATCAAAGCCTTTGGGAAGCCTGGAAGTTTACTGAGTCTCAGCTGGACCACTAAAGACGGGCTTTCTTTGGATTAACAGTTTGTGAATTGTCCAGCCAGGTCATAAACAGTAGTAGTAGTGCTAAATAATAGTTCACAAGTAAACAATTTCTTTTTCGGTTGCCTTTATGGGCACAGTCCTATGAATGTTTCAACAGAAAAAAAAAAGCCTTATGACTTCCAGCATTCTCCAACCAGTACGTCTTTCTTCTGTCTAAACATCCATAGGTTTGGACTAAAGGACCGTACAAGTGGGTAAAACAAAATCAGTGTATCTGACTGATAAACTGTTAAAGGTATCTGAATTTAATGTTGGCAGAATGTTTTTATTTGTTTAGAGTAGACAAATAAAGTTGAAGGAGCTAAGAGAAATGTTTGTTTTAAAATAGAACTGATTTTTAAAAGGCAAGAGATAAGCTGACAAGAACGTGTCAGCTTACAAGAAAAATGCTCTTAATATTTTTATATCATATCCTCACCATGGTAACAGAACTCCTTGAATTACTGAAAACGCAAACCTGGAGATTCTTAAAGATCATTTCATGCACAGCTTTCTGTAACTGGGTGAAGTTGAGCTTCAAATGCAACATTAAAACCAGCCGTTTTCATACATTTAAGTGACTGTCCCCGTAGTATTGCCATCTCTAGCGGATAAACTGCTAAGACTCCTTTATACTAGCTAGATAGAAAAGTGTTTCAGGATGTTTCTGTGAGGAATTAAAATGATTACTGTTGAGGAGCTGGTGTACACATTTATTCATAACTGTGTTACCATGTTGCTAGGACAACCAGGCCTAGGTTGCAGCCACTTCCATTATGACACTTGCTAGGCAATAAGAGCGCACCTGTATGCCCTTCCTGCCACTTGGATAGCATGGATGAATCTGTCATGTTCACTTTCTCACACATTCAGATTTTTAGAATCTCACTCCTGAATGTGAACAATTAGGGTGACATCCTGTGGATTTGCCTGCAAACCCCTAAAAGAAAATTACAGGCATGCTAAGCAGGCTCGGAAGAGACTGGAAGTGTTCTTAGTCTCCTTGCTTCTCCTACTCTGCAAATCTGCTGAAAGGCTAATTTCATCTGTCTATCTGTAGCATGGGGAAAGACAGACATTGGAGGACCGCTAGGGTGCAAGATACCTTGGGAAACCCCATGTGCTTCTGCTCCCCTCTCACCCCCAGAACACTATCTCTACTCCTTCTTCAAGGTTGGTCTTATGACCTTGGAGAATCAGCCAGTGTGTTTCCTTCCACAATAACTCTGAGAAGATGGGGAAGATTATCTGTGCACAGATACTCAGCTTCAAGATCACAATTCTCTGACTTCAGAATGCAGAACCAGAGCATCCTGCAGCTTTCTAGGCACTGTCTAGAGGTCTTGGTCTCTTAGAAAATTTAGATAAATTCATATCAGAAAATGATGGGAATAAAATTCTTATCCATATCTACCAGTCCAATTTGATAGGTACATTTATTCCCAGCATTTGGTAAATTATCTGTGACAAATTTTAAATTATCTATCATTCATAACACAGAAAGCATTATAATACACCTGCCTGATACATAGGTGTTAAGGATGAGCAACTTGTCAGAAAAAGGAGGTGGCAACCCTAAATGGCTGAACAGGCTGGGATTCTAACTCTGACTTGCAAGAGGAAAGTACTCAGAGCCCTGCGCCTGGGTGGGCAAATCTGCCAGTTTCAGTTTCACTTTAATTAAAGCTCTTTTTTGGCAACTATGGAAGACTTGGAAAATCTTGATTAATTTTATCAAAAGTGAACCAAGGTGGAACTCTCACCCAATCCTAGCCCAGTATGGATGAGAATACAGAAGTTACACTTGGTTTTAAGTTTTCAGGGTTTTAGTCTCTTTCTTATAGCCTTCAAAGGGAGAAGTGAAATCTGAAGGCCAAAAGCCTAAATCAAGCATTGGGCTATTTTATCCTTTTTCTAGTAATTCCGCCTCAATTTCATTAGGCCTCACCTGTTAGATACGTGCATGTACATGTATGTGTGTATGTGCACATGCATGTGTGTGAGTGTGTGAATATATCAATGTCTGTTTGCAATGTTCCAAGGGTTCCCAATTTTGCTTAGCCCTGATTTTCCCACTTTTATAAATTCAAACTTCTTCAGTTTTATAATAATGACAGTATAAATCCTTACAATGACTTTTGTAATTAATAACTAGTTTCTGGCTTATTTCAGGAGCCTTTCAGGTGTTCTATTCTCACAGCTCATTACTTGCAACAACATGAAATTGAGCTGATGTGATATGTAAATGTGAGCTCTTGTTTTAACTGGGGTCTGTTTGTATATACTACTGAAAGAACTGTGGAACAGCCACAGAATCTTTGAAATTATGTTAGCATAGATATCCTTAAACCATGACCACTGATGTTCCCCTGCTCAATAAAAGGATACTGAAGGAATATTTGCAGTTAATACATACAGCATATCTTCCTTTGATTATGCATTCTTCCACTTGAAGGGATGTACTTGGCCAATGGATCTGCAATAGAATAAGGAGTTATTTAATACTCTGTATAAATGATATAATGCAAATTCAAGCCTTTCAGTGTACATTTGCATGCTACACTTAGTATTCCTATTGCTTCTTCCCATACTTCAAGATTATGACAGGATAGGTATTAAATTGTGATTTTAAATTTGTCTTGTAAGGCAACTTCATGCACCACACTTGTCTTTTCTTGCACAGAATAGCCTTTGTTGTTACAAAGATGAAAACATGCTTCAAAACAGAAGACATAAGAGCCTAATCAAAAACACACCCAGCAAAGCAAAAGCAAAGCAAAATTTCTGCTTTTTTATATATTTAAATTATCAATACTTAAAACACAATTCATGTTTAATCAAAAGTAAATTCCATTGTATTGAATGAGATTTAATCCCATATATGTGTAGCCAGAGTACATTATTAATTACTCAGTATGTAATTACTTGCCAAACTCCTTTAGATCTACTTCTTAATATAAAATGTGAAGCATACAGAAACATCATTCATTAAGATCTACTCTCATACATAAATCTGGTTTTCTTGACTGCATTCTGATTATCCAGCAATTCCTTTCCCTCTGACCTAACCTTTTGCTTTTGGAAACACACAAGCCTGTAATGAGAATGATTGTTTGCTTGTTACATCCATCTGGTAGTCAGAGGTATAAATGCTTCTCAACATGAGGGATTGCAATAACCTTACAGACACAAGTCATAATGTTAGCCTATGCACTAAGCCTTGAGTTGCATCTCGTGGTACCACTGAAAGTTTGTATTGTTAAACCGTCCCAAGACTTCAGTAATGGGACAGTCTACAAACATTTTAAATGAATAAATAAGTCATGGTAAGTTGGTCCATACATTGAATTAATAAGTTTATCATTCTCAAATGGTCATTTAATTAATAAGTTTATCATTCTCAAATAGATAAAAGGTAAAGGTAAAGGTTTCCCCTTGACATTAAGTCCAGTCATGCCTGACTCTAGGGGGCAGTGCTTATCTCCGTTTCCTAGCCAAGGGAGCCAGCGTTTGTCCGCAGACAGTCTCCGTTGTCATGTGGCCGGCATGACTAAACACCGAAGTGCACGAAACGCTGTTACCTGCCCACCGAAGTGGTACCTTTTCATCTACTTGCATTTGCATGCTTTCGAACTGCAAGGTTGGCAGGAGCTGGGACAGAGCAACAGGAACTCACTCCGTTGTGCAGATTCAAACTGGCGACCTTTTGATCAACCAGCCCAGCAGCACAGCGGTTTAAACCACTGCGCCACCTGCAGTCCCTCTCAAATGTATAATGAGCCCTAAAATCAGTCCAATCAGCTTTCATATTTTCATAATTTAAACTGTGATTGATTTCAAGTTAATTCATATTTTATAATTTATAATTTGTACATATACAGTCTGTGTGGTTGGCATGAGGAAGCAGCCAACTGCTGTGATCTTGATGTAAGTTCAGATTTTGTGTGGGTGGGATATTTCTCTTTTGTTTAATCTTAGTATTGATTGTTTGATTTCAGGATATATTTATTTTTGTGAGATGTTTTGATTGGCCTATGTATCTGACTATTTTATAAGTTGCATTTGGAAATGTCATGCTTGATTATGTAAATTTTCCTGATTTTTTTACTGCAGAAAAACTGCATAGAAATACAGTGATGGATGAGGTTGATAACTGTCACTCTTTAGTTACTGAAAATAATGACAAAGTTACAGTTCCTGAGCATACGTATGAAATGATCTTTCTTTAATCTTTAGTTAATCTTTGCCAAAATTATCAACCATTTGATTACACAGTGTCTACTATAGGGTAGTATATAAAAACTTTAAATGAATAAATAATGATTTAAAAATGGGATCTGAAACCAAATACATTTGAAGAAACAGTCATGCTACTTGGCTCATCAGTGGTTAAGCATAAATTTCTCCTCTACCTAGCTGACTTCTAGGCAAAATAAAGCATTATTTTTGTTAAGTAAAAGTTGAACCTGGGTGTTTCCTGAGTGTCATTGGGAAACATGGTATTTTATCTCTTGGTTAGGTGATTTGAACTGATATATTTAACTTTTAATTTGGTGGACTGATTGGTGCTGCATATGAGTGGTCGTGCTGATTGTCCTTTGCTTTCCAGCTGATGTACTCTTAAAATAGCGAGAACAGTTTCTCTTGTTAAATGTTAATCCACCACTAGTGGGAACCATTTCTCTTGTTGCTAAATGTCAATCCACCAAACCACTGCATAGCATTAAAGCAAATTAGAGAAAGATATGTCATTCATGGCACATAACATTGTGATGCACATCACAGGACAAAAACTCCATATAATGCGTGTCATATTGTCAAGGTGCACTTTGATGATGTGCATCTACAACATTCAGACATACTCTGAAATCTTGGAATACTAGAGAGCTTTCATAAGAATTCATAATGTTGGATTCAGGATACTGGTAACAAATGTGAAATAGGACAAGGCCAAGTTATCTATGACTGCTTTGGACCAGAATAGTGCAAAGACTGCCTGCTCCTGTATTAACCTGTCCATGTCCTGTTATCATCTCCAAGGTTCTCCTGCCTGCTGATGTCAGGTGTATGGCAAAGAGCCAACATCTTTTGTGCCATGGCACAGCATCTTTGAAATGGCCTTGCTAGGCCCATGTATGGGATTCCCAGAAGTAGGAGTTTTTAGGCACCAGCTTTTTGATGATTCATCCAGACATTTTAACCTGGTTTCAGAGTTCTTGCTGAATCCTTTATTATTATTATTATTATTATTATTATTATTATTATTATTATTATTACATTTTTATACTGCCCATAGCCAAAGCTCTCTAGGCAGTTGACAGCAATAATCATAGAATCATACCCTCAAGTCGTCCATCCCACTTCTGCCCAGGCCTGACCCTGCTTAGCTTCTAAGATTAGGCAGGGTCAGGCACTTCAGGCTACATGGAAGCTTTTATTTATGACTGTGCTATTATTTAGGCAGAACCGGGCTTTGCTATTTTTTTCTTGTTGGTTTACATTTCTTTCATGTTGATCTCTTTTGTGATGTATGAACACCTTGAAAAAGTTTTGGATGGGGCAATGGAAATATATTGGATAAATAAACCATGAGGACTCCATGGGTTTGTTGTATGTGCTCTTTTATTCCTTTAGCAGAATAAGGGATAGGGAACAGCAAGGCCAGCTTATAGCCAGCTGCAAGCCAGCATCTAGATAACTGTCCCTCTCAGTCCGAGTATGAAGGTCATGAACTTGCAAATCAATAGCTTCTCACCAGCAGGCTACTGGGCCAACAAGGTATCAAACATAGATCCATGGTAAAAATCCATGGATAAATTCATCTTACTCCCGAAGAAAGCAACCTGGCCAACATTCTTTTGCAAATAAGCACAGACAGCACATAAGTGAATTTATAATCTTTTCATAAAGTAACCCCTTCTTGATTGCAAATGTTTAATTGTTGAATATTTTCCACATGGATAATGTAAGCTGTGTTTGCACAGCACCTAAAGCCAGAAACTAATTGATTGTAAATGGTGGCCTTTCACCTTCCATGTGTGATTTTTTTCCTTGGTGCTATATACTATTTCAGAATTTCTCATGATGACTACATCCATGACATGGTATTGGGTGCTTGCCAGGTTGACAATCTTTTGGCAAGCTGGAAATCACTAAAGCTCAATGATTTCTCAGGAACTTTTGAGCTGGAATGGCATTATACTAGCACACACTTTGTTGGCCTTTGTGTGCAACCTTTCATTGGAAGAGTATTATTCAATAGCTGTCATGTCCATGAGTCAATGTCTGAAGCATTTTTCAAATTTCATCATAGGCAATTTTTGCATCTACCACAATGGTTTAGCATTTGAAAAGGCACAAATGATGTAAGTAATTTATGCTCTGAAGGCTAAGCTGAAACGATAGCAGGAGACAGCTCGAAAACATGGTTGTAAGAATATGCCCCAGAGATCAGTGCTCTAAGTGGGGTGGGATGCCATGGTTTTCTTGCAGAACTTTCTTTTTTCCAGGTGGACATGATGACTGTCTAAACATCCTACTTCCTTTTTGCAATTTTCTGTGCTATGGATGCTTCACCTTTTCAATGAAATTGTAATTGGTGAAGCAGTAAGGTTTGTATGAGGAATGGGACCTTAAAAGATGAAGCAGCCTTACAAGAAGATTCACACCGTGCTGGCACAGTTGCTTGGGCCACTTGCCATAGCACCTGCCCCATGGTGGAAAGAGGTATGACTTCTCCTCTAGAGTTTGCATTGATGAAGTTTGGTGGGTTGGGGTGGACCTGAATATACATATGCTGGCTGACACACATTTCTTTTAAGGAAGGAACATGAATCATGAAAGACACATATAATCTGGCATTATAATTGGCCAGGAGCTAGAATGGAATAGCATTTTTCCAACATAAACCACTGAGAAGTCATCCAAATCTTTATAGTCCCTGTTGTTAACATCTTAGAGGAGAGGTAACATAGAAACAGAGCGAGTCAGAAGGGGCCTCCCGGGCCATCTATTCTGACCCCCGGCTCCAGCCACCTCCACTCACGACATGCCCACCATGTGCATGTCCAGCCTATCCTTGAACACCCTCACCGATGGGGCCTCAACGACCTCTCGTGGAAGCCCATTCCACACCCTCGGGGTCCTAACCGTCAGGAAGTGCTACCTGGCATCTAAATGGAACCTTGGCTCCCTGAGCTTTGCTCCATTGGAGCGCGTCCTGCCTTCCTCTGCAGGGGAGAAAAAGGTTTCTACCCATCTCTGTCCCCATCTCTACCCATCTCTATCCCCTCACATACCTGTATGTCACCGACATATCCCCTCTGAGTCTCCTCTTCTCCAGGCTGAAGAGACCCAGTTCCCTCAGTCTCGCCTCATACTCCATCCCCTGCAAACTGGCCACCAACCTTGTGGCCCTATGCTGCACTGACTGCAACCTGGCTATATCCCTCCTGTAATGAGGGGCCCAAAACTGAG